GGGGGGGGGGGGGGGGGGGGGGGGGGGGGGGGGGGAAGTGATAGAGAGACTTGGTGGATACCTGGCATTTAGCCAGAGTCAAACCATCACAAAGAGATACTAAAACTATTCTTTAGGAGCAGAATAAGTACAACATCATGGTCAAAGGCCAAGCTAAGGTTTACTGCCTGCACTGAGCCAGCAGTCAATAAATGTGGCTAGAACTGAAAAAAACCCCATCCCAAATCCGACCCAAATCCGGTTTCCTGATAGCCAGAGGACACCGCTCCCACCACCGTACCTGGGGCAGGCTGTAGACGTGACACCGGTAGATCAGCTCGTGGTGCGGTGGGTTGATACTGCTCTGGTAGATGCAAAATGTGTTTTCATCCGAAGTGTCTGTGAATGAAAAGTTTCAAAGGCATCGGGGATTTCAAGGGTGCTGATGAGAGCCCAGAGGCCAAGGGCAGCTAAATGTGAGTGTCAGTACCTGGTTTATCCGGTGTCTGAACAAAGTGTTGGGAACTGAATGTTTTGCCCTCAGGACATTCAGGGTGAGGCAGCAGCCTGGAGTCCAGGTAAGTGCAGAAGAGGTGCATGATGATCTGGAAACAGAAAAACAAATCTCGCTTTAGTGTCCTTAAAAATACAGCAGCTTTCCTGCTATAATCGTGCCTGTCAGTTACAGTTTTGGCGACTGCAATGCTGACTCAGCCCTGGTGTTTTCAGGAGCCTGAGGCAGTTTAACGCTTAAAGCAGAGATTCCATTGGGCCCGGCACGCCACAGCTGTGAAGGCAGGTTTGTTTTGTCCAGTGGCGAAACAGCCTCAGTCACAACGTGATAAACTGATGCTGCACATCAGCAGCTCAGCTCCCCCACGAGCAGCTTTATTCTGGCACCCTGCAGAATTTGGCAAAGTCACGGATTTAGCAGATTTAGGCCATGAACTCTAAGCAAACTGTTTTAGCAACAGGTTCTGCGCTACATGCGAGGATTCGGCTCAGAAGGGCAGTTGAAATCCAGTGACAGCAAATCTCTCCTTTTCCCTCACAAAAGACCAAACAAAAATCACTGGAAAAACCTGAGCTGGCCACAAGTCTTACTAAGAATGTCAAAATTTTGAAATAAATTGGTAATACGAGCAGAAAACCACGCTGCAGCCTGCTATTAGTGGCTTAACCCTTCCCAGGGAGGTGTCAACATTTTATGTAGGCAACATCACCCAGTTATCTGTAATCCGATACTTGCTGTGCTTGTTCTATGTAACGGGCTCTGTTTCACAGAAAAAACAAAAGAGTTACTCTGGGCTAAATGGCCAAAGTCTCCAGAAATCTGGGAGATGTGCCTTGGAAAGCACACCTTTTTATTACCTGCAGTGTGATCAAAAAAAAGGCAAAACTGTACTGTTTCTTATTCTTACAGTAATTGTCTCGAGTCACTGAATGTCAGAACTTCATGGCAGGTGTTTCTTTTAATCTGTTAGATCAGAACTTTCCCAGAATTCCTGGAAGTTTCACTCCGGGGTGCCCTCCTCTGTCTCATGATCTTTAAACACTTTGAGTTGCTCACCCCGCTGTGGGTCAAGACACCGAGAGCTGGTCCGTGGCCAGTCACTGTCACATATTTAATCATCTTCACAAATAGAAAAGCAAATCCTATTTCAAGGCTGATTTTGTACAGCTTCAGCTTCCAGCAACTGACTCTCATGATATCTTTGTCAGCAAAGCTGTGAAGCTCTAACATTCACATCTCCTGGGTTTTATCCTCCCAAGTAACTGAAAATCTATTTATCGTGGGGAAAAAAAATAAAATCGCCCAAACTCAACTGTCAGATACAGAGTTCAACTGAAGCCTCACACTGTAAAGCCTCATTTTCAGCACCCTGAATTGTTCTGGGCTCTTTAATTCTTTTCATCCCCTCAGTTGAATTTTCAAGCCATGTTTACACTGAGGCGCTGTTCCTCCTGACCTCTCAGATTAACGGGCGAAGCATTGCTATGAGTCTTCTCTCCCGTGAGATACACAACAGATTTCAGATTTCTCACAAAATATTACTGAATTAAACCACAGCCATGCCACTCCATCTGCATTTTTCCCCTCTGTCCATTAGAGCAAAGGAAAATGAGAAGAAGGAGAATGCTTTCCCTAGCATTAGGAATTGTCAGGTTAAGGCAGACATTTGCCTGTCTAAAAGAAACAGAGCAAGGGCAGCGCCCCAGCGAGACCCAGACCTGTCAGGCTGCTCCCTGCAGTGACCTGACCAACACTGCAGAGGAGTCGGAGAGCCTGGCCTAAGGCTAAGCCCTGCCCTTGCATTGCTGTGATCTACGCAACGTCCAACACCGCTGGCACTGGTCCCCATGGAACCCCACTGACCCAACGGGATTCTCTCTGCAAATGACGCCAACAGGATTTTACCCTGCTCCTCAAAAGACTGACTGGCTGCTCCCTCCAAAGAACCTGCACTGAAAGGCAACCCGCTTTATGCTGTTGTATCGAGATGGCTTCCAACACTTACAGAGGAGTTGGTAGGCAAGAGGGTGTTCCACTGGCAGCTGTTGAATTCCCCTCCTCCGTTCCATCGGAAGGAACTCAGGCATCCTCCCCGAGAAAGCTCTGCAAGCAACAAGATCCATGCAGTTACTGGGGCTTGAATGGGCACAAAAGCAGAATTTTGTGCTAGTTTCAGGGGCTTCATACCCATTTCCAGTGGACAAAACAGGAAATGTTCCACTAATTAAATGTTTGTAAAGATAAGAATACAGGGAATACAGGGAGGTAAATTTACAGGATAATTTTTGGTTTTAGTTAGCGAAGAGATTAACTGGATCACTTTGCACCCTGAGCATGCAGGAGCGAAATGAGAAATAAAGCTTTCAAAAAACATTCCCAAAGTTTCATCCCAATCCCACATCATTGCATTGCTACAAAAAATTGCAAAGAGCCATCTCTGCTGCTTCAAAGCAGCTCTTATCCCCCCGTGGCTCTTCCAACGCCTCCGCTGAAGGAACATCTGAAGCCACCAACGCTCGACCAGTCACAGGAGAGTTTTAAAGTCAGTCCAGTGACAGCACGTACCTTTGATCCTCTTGACCAAATACTGCTGGTTTGGGGTCAGATCCAGATAGGGCACCAGAGAGCTGAGGGCTGGAATGAGCGGAGCTCTCAGGAGCGCTGCCTGCTTCAGACTGCTGATGGTGGCTTCTGCAAGAGAGGAAGCGCCAGTGCAGGTCAGCCCCGAGCACCACAGGGCCCCCAGGTGCCGCCCGTGCCAGGCAGGGCTACAGAGAGCTCCCCTGTTTGGTGCCTCGCTCCAAGCCCTAGAAACAGGGACTGTCTGACACTGCCCCACAGAGCCCTTCCAATTCCAGAGGAAGAGGAGATGTCGTCTTGCCACGACAGAATATAGAAGCTACAAGGAACCAACGTGGCCTTTGAAGAGCAGAGGGAGAGTAACAGAGCGGGGCCGAGAGCGGCACTGGCCAGTTTCTCTAGAGGCACGGCAGGAGCTGCGGCTCTTGAGGGGACCCAGGAAAGAGCCCCCAAAGGTGGGGGTAATTGAAAGGCAGCCTGTGAAATGGAGTTGTGGGTGAAGTGCTGGATTCACCAGGATTTGAAATTCATCTGGATTTGAAGCAAGAAGAGCAGCAGTAGTTTGAGAATTGTCCAAATCAGTTGTTGAGGGCAGCATTTGGCAAGAGGCATAGTAGCGGAGAGAGGGAGAGTTTGTAGGGAGAGAGTGAGAATTTCCAGCCCAGCAAATGTCGGGGGGGAAGCAAACAAAGAGGTGTGGAGGGGGAGCAAAGGGTTAGGGGGGGCAAAGGGGGCAGGAAGCAAGGTGAGGAAGAAGGGAGCTCCAAAGCCTCATCCTACCTGCAGTCTGCAACTTCTGGACACCCCATTCTTGGGAGCTGAGTGCTTACAGACTTGATTTGTTGGACAAGTGGCACTAGAATAGTCTCATTAATCCACTAGTAAAGAAAAAGGTGAAAATTCAAGAGGTCAGAAGCAAGAAAAATGTTTAAAAACCCCCCAAACTTTATCTTACATCCTACTAATCGTCACCATTACAATCACAAAGGAATTTAACAACAGAAATACTGAAGCCAGCCAAGGAGTAAAATAATTCAATTGGAATATCAAGTTAGGTAGAGTTTCAGTGACTCTCTAATACTTTCTAAAAGACCAGAAAATTCAGCAGAGAAATGGACTAAAGGTCTGAAAGACCATAAAATTCAAATAAAGGAGTTGGGAAAACACATCTCCAGAACGTATCAGATAAAGCTTTTCTTTCTGAAGCTTTTTCTGAACCGTCAGGAAAGGGGCATTATGAACACAGCCCTCCACCCATAAAGGAAATTTATACTTTGACGAAGCCACTCCCTCTCACATTTGTCTGAGGAAATCAAGAAGCTGATAAACACTCTGTGTGGGATTTGAGAACTGAAGCGTGCTGGCCCTGGGTTTAGGAACAGATGCTCAGCAATCTGGCATGGATGTCATACTCATCTTTGCTTTTCACCACTCATTAAAAACCAAAAAACCAAAAACCCACATAAAACACACAAGCAGAACTACAGACCTGATAGATGCTGTGAGTGAAGGTGCAATCCAAAGCTCGATTGACTAATTATTTTGCCAGCATGTGCAATTCAGTCTGCCCTGCTCCAGCAAGGGCTGTTGCTAACTGAGATCGAGGTTTTTCCTTTTGCTTTTATTACGCTGCTCGGGACAGTCAGAAAAAAAACCCCAGCCTTTGGGTTGGAATTTGCATGCTTTGAGCCCCGGAGAGTGAGTTAGA